GCATTGGCCCATGATTAAACATGTTTGTTATGAACAAGGACGCAATATATTTTGGAATGTTTTGCATCAGCAACTCTATAAAATAAACTACTAAAAAAATACATCCAGACTGTCTATAAAGCACCTGCCATGAGAAACAGTTTCAAAAGTTTTAAAAAATGCAAAGAAGAATGAACTATGGTGAGTCATGTTCCACATTTTCAAATACAATCATTTAGATACATCAACCAGAAATCACTCTTTACTATGTTTTCCATTTGTTACAGTTACATGACTTGCTTCAGTAATTCCCTCATCTCGATTTAGTCCACTTGTGTTTTTGCATTTCCCTTTTTTAAGGTAAGTCCATTATTTTTCACATAAAACTTATTTGACAGGGTCATACTTCCCTATACTTCCCTTGTTCAGACTAACGTTAATTTTGCCAACACACACTCATGCCAGAGCAACTTTGTAAGACAGTAAGACATTAGAATACTAGTTCTTAAAGACAAAAGATGCGTTTTGGATATGCAACAAGATGGTCTCTTTCTGAAATACATTTTTATGCAGTATTCTGTTTTTATGCTTAGGAAAAAATAACTGTACATACAGCTACAAAGATCTGTTGCTAATTGCAAGCATATGCACTGTCATCTTACCAGGGTATTTTAAAAAACAAACCAACCCACAACAACAGGACTGGATTCCTATTCTATGATCCTCATCCTGAGCAGCTATATAAAAAAAGTCTTCACAGTGGGTTAAGTGCCTTTTTTTTTTTATTATTTTATTTTTTTTTCTTCATACGAGTAAATTGAAACTTCTAACTGTGCCTTAATTGTGGAAGGGAAAGAGTGATTTTCCTGGGATACAGGATACATGTTAGATTGAAAAATGAGGGAGAAGGTTTGGTGAACTAATTGTTTAAAATCTCCGGTGAATTTCCAGTGCAAATAGGCTTGAACGATTTATTTCTGACACATATTTTGTCATTCAGAAAAGACTAACATAATCCAGCAAAAAGTGACTCATTGGCGCATTGAAGCAACCCAGAACTATTTTAAAAGCGGCCTTTGAAGACTGATGTACTACTCACAAGTGAAATGTTGTGTCTTCCCGTCTTCCAACACCACCTGATTTCATCCTCCTTTTGTTTGAAGTTGTGTTTTCTTTCCCTACACCTGAACTTATATTGATTAATAAAAAAATAAATAAAATTAAATGCTAAAAATGTTTACTGTCTCTCAGCTATCAGCTGATTTTTTATTTCCCTTTGCCTCACATGAGCATTCATTCTTTCATTAACTTAAATCTTAATGTTCACATCAACTCAATCACAATTTCCCAAATAAGCCAGGAGACAGTCTGCCATTAACTTCTGTCTTTTTGTTTGTTTGTTTGTTTTTGTTTTGTTTGACAGTCTCTATTATCATATGGTAAGAAGAAAAGTTTTTAAAAGTAACTGACTCAAACCCTCACATTAAAAGACTATCCTCAGAGATTGTAAATAATGTTACACTGCAACCAGATACCAAATCAACACTTAATTTATTATTTTCTATTCTATGACTCTGAAAAAATGACTTATAAATAATAAATATTTCTCCCTACCCCTCACCCCCCAGACAGTTCACCTCCAGCAGTAAGTTTTATAAACAGGTCATAAACAGGAACTAGCTAACTGATCAGATACCAAGCAATACATTCAAAAAATACACTTAATAGTACATTTTTCCTGGCAACATGATATAGTGTACTCAGATGAGTAAGCAACAAATTCTTCATGTTGTACAGCAAACAGCATGCAAAATATTTATTAAAGAGAATGAAGACAAAAAGAGATATTTCAGTAATCTTCAGTTGTTACAGCATTATTGTTACAAAAACAATATTCCGGCTTTTTTTTTTTCTATAAAATTAACAGAAGAGAATTTAATTGCAAACTCAATAAATATTCTTTTCAAGCTCTATCTGTTGAAGTGCCGTTTTCCTGTTAGTTATTCTGTGGCAAATTTGGGAGAGACAAAAAGCAGCTGCAGCTACATTTGTAAATGCAGCCCCAGGAGAGTGCGTGAGACTACAGTAGTTTCACATAGGCAATTACTGTGCATGTTTGATTTTTTAATTTATTAACAGATGTGAGGAATCTACCTATTTCAATTTTCATAACTGAAAGTTGCATTCTATGCTGCAATGTAGATAAAACTCAAAGCAAAATTTATTATTGATAATAGAAAACCCTGAAAAGTCATTAGGACCCCAAACCTTAATCAATTATATGAAAAAAAAAAAACAAAAACAAAAAAAAACCTTGCAAATCATTCCCTGAAAACCTTTCCAATCCTGGATATTTCCACTACAGTAGCAACTCATATCTTCTATGTGTTTCAATTAGTACTATAATTATGACTTGAAGAATTAGGTTCCTAAGCATTTACAAGTTTTATGTTTAACATGAACCCAAAATATGCTATGACACCTCTAACTGGAAACTGAAGATGAGACAAAGTACATACCACCTGAAATTAGGATAAAAAAAAAAAAAAAAAAGCTTGCTTAATTAAAATTAAAGGTCTAAGCAACTTAAAAAGCAACACCAAAAAAACATTTCATGTCTAGATGCAGGACAATTTCAGTTAGCATCTGTTCAGCATCTGTAGAAAGTCAGACCATTTATTTAAATACTTGTAGTTGACAACAGCAGTAAAGAATCTCTTTAACGCCTTCTATAAAACTTGCTTTTATTTGCAAACACTAAGAAGCCTATTTGGACATTCTGTCCATCTATAAGTTACAGATTTGTACACATTACATTTAGAGGGAAGAGACACTCGGCATAGAACAATCTGTACTCCACTACAAAACCATTAAACGAGGAGATATTCAACAGAGAGAGAATCCCAGGGCCCACACAGGAGGAAATCTGTCCTGTCAAAGAACAACAGGGATATAAGAAAAGCAATCAATCGATCAAATAATCAAATAAATAAAATGGCCAGAGGAAAACTATTTTTTCAGGGAAAAGATGGACTTATTGAAACAAGGAGCACACTGGACAGTTTTGGTATGGCCACTGGGCACACTGTTGTAATACAACTCTGACACCAGAACTACAACTTCTCTGTTTAATCACAGTTGTCAACTGTAGTCCATAACAGGCTTAAGACCATTTAATGAAGTTTAATAAGATTTACAGTGCATTGCATTGTATATTCACCACCTAACTGAAAGACTAATCTGTAGCCGTGTCTTGCAACTGGCAAGACACAGCATTGCAATTTTCCTATCACCTCTCAAGTCTCTCCACGTGTAAGCAAAAGTGATTTTTCTTTCTAAATGCCACCAAAGCTGAGCTTGTCATACTGTGCTGTTAGCACTTTTTTAACCTTTAATAAAAAAACACCACATCAACTTCTGCCTCTCTCTAAAAAATATGCAATAGAGTTAAAATCTTTTGCATCTGGAGACACTGGCAGCACAGCAACCAGCAGCAACACAGTTTAGCCTGAATACTGTGTTATGGGAAGGTGTCCAGCTCAGCACTCAGAGCCCAGAATGAGAAAAGGTTTGCTGTTTATTAAACGTTCATACTTTTTTCTTGAAGAGAAGAAAAGAAAAACAAAACCAAAAATTCAGGAAGAGGCAGCACAAATATATTTCTTCAAAGAGATTCCAGTTATCATAATTTCAGGAAAATATACACATCTGAATTAGGATGAAGTATACTCACAAACACAAACACATTTTCTGCTTCTGTAACTATTTTTTTCCTTAGAATCTAAAGGCATTTTACAAACAACTGATTACCTCTCAGGCTTTTTTTTTTTTTTTTTTTTTTTTTTTTTTGTAAGAAAGAATTACCCTAACACCTCAGTTCTCTCAACTCCAAAATTTGTCTTTCTTGGCACCATCTGTTTTTTTTTGTGATTAAAAAAAATTAAAAAAAAGTAATGTCCTAGACGTTTACTTTAAACATTTTCCATTCTTCTTTGCTATTACCCAAAGCAAATACACAATAAAAAACAACTAAAACAAACAAACAAACAAAAAATCATAATTTTCTTCTTTGTATTCTTCATATATATGATCATATTTATGAAGGAAAAGTAAGTTATCAGCTATGTTTTCTTCACAGTATTTTAATTAAAATAATAATAATAATAAATAAATAAATAAACCATAAAATCTATAACTTATTTATTCTTGATACTCTTTATACACAGTCTTCCCCATCTTAAAACCAAAACTTAGCTAACTGGAAATCAGTATTAATTTTAAAAAATATCACCCAATAATTTGCTTATATATTCTTCATAATACTTGAGCAAAGTGAATAAACAAAACCCCATGTTTTAGAACCTGGCAACTCTTAATAATCTAGCTATGATCCTCATCCCACCCCCACCCCCCCACCCCCCCAAAAAAAAGCAACTGATTTAACTGAAACATTATTTTTGCATAGTTTCTACAGTCCCAAGCACCGAAATACCGAAATAACAACAAAATTAACTGTATAACATACATTGAAACTAAGAAAGGTTGGAGAAGACATTCTATATTTTAGTGCATAAGGGTGCATCAAATCCATAGAAGGGGGTATGTTTCAAAGCATACCAAAGTTTAATAGATGTGGTGTTTTCCTACAAAACAGACCCAAAGTTCCTCATTCTTGAGCTCTGCTGACAAAAAAAGTGTATATTACTGTCCAATCCAACTTCATTTTCTTCCAACTTTATCGAACTTTAGATTCTTCCCCCCCCCCCGAAAAAAAGTATTTTTTTTGTACCTACTACCAACTTTCAACATTGAAAGTTCTCTCTTTCTACCCACCTCCAATCCCATATCCACCCTGCCCTGCCTCTATTTTTACTAGAAACTCCCCATGTTTCCACAGAATCAGACTGTGAGGCACTGAACTCACTGCCAGGTATACAGACTTTTAAGGTTCTGGGTGTAAGTTAAGACTCAGTTTATTCACATATAAATTTAAAATTTGAATTTTCTTTGCACAGGCTTACCTCATTCTCTTCAGATGTGTATTGTATTTTGAGCGTGTCCATGGCTCTGATCATAGCTTGCATGGCAGTAAATATATTTTGGTAAACCAGTTTTGTGAAGCCTTTCCTGTCTTCTTCTGTGTAGCCTGATCCATGAATAATCCTCATTTGTTTAATGAAAGTACTCTTTCCACTTTCTCCAGTGCCTATGATAGAGGTAGGGAGGAGAGAAAGGAAAAAAAACACTGTAGTAATTGAAAATCCTGGCAGTTGAAAATACTTGTAAATACAAGTGCAAGCATGTGCACATTATCTAAGTAAGCATAATGATCACCATTAATTGTAGTAACAATTTTTCAATTTTCCATTTTCCATAACTTTTATAGTTTTAATAAGAATTTGTATTTCTGTGTTTGGGAGCCTGTTGGTTAGACACATCAAAGTATATTTTTGTGATACATCTTACAATGTTTAACACAAGTATCTTGTAGGTAGACATCATATTACAAAAGAAGCACGATGAGTGACTAGATGAGAAAGAAGTTTGGATGAAAATCCTCAACATTGAAAAACTATACAAAGCTTATATACTGTTTATACATGTACCTTAATAATTGAGCCTGCACTAATCCTGAATCCTGAACAACAAATTCATTTCTATCTCAGAGCTCTTATGAGTGCTAAGGGCAGCCCTTTCTGTCCTTCCCCAGCTGGAAGATCATACAGGGCCAAAAAATACTCATTATACTTTCTTCTAAATTTTCAGAAGTTTAGCAATAAATGCATTCTGGCTGAGCCATAGGATTGGCTTCACTCCTTCCCTCAGACTACTGATGGTAAGACAGCACACCCAATAACAAGTTTTCAGTAATTTACACTTAATACCACTAGGTGTCGAAAATACATCAGCAGGACAAATAGAAAGGAGTCTCTCTGTGAAAATTATGTCTTAAGATATAGTATCTCAGTACCATAGCAGATAGTGGTATCTTTTTAGTGAAATAGTACGCATTTATAGAGCTCCAAACATTAACAGTAATAAGCAAAACCCAGATAACCTGAAAGAGTGTAAACTGTCATCATCTATTACTTGTATAGCCGTTTTTCTGAAACATTTGCCACATCAGTTCTTTTTTTTTTTTTTTTTTTTTTTTTTTTTTGATTTTGCACCATCCGTTCTGGACATCCCTTCAAAGCTGTAGTTGTCCTGTATTCAAGCCAGCATTATTCAACTGTCCTTCTCCATGACAGTGCTAGAACAGCTCTACTCAACAGGAAACAGGACCTACAGTGCTCATCAGAAGAATGAAACATAGCTCTACTCTTTTTAGTTGATAAATAAGAAGTGTATAATACTTCTGTCTGAAAGAAGAAGGTCGGGGAGACCTTATTTGTCTCTACAACTACCTTAAAGGAGGTTGTAGCAGGGTGGGGGTCAGTCTTGTCTCCCAGGCAACAAGTTATCACTTGCTGAATTCCTTCATAGAGGAATGGGCCTCAAGTTGCACCAGGGAAGTTTAGGTTGGATATTAGGAAGAGTTCTGCACTGAAAGGGCTGTTAGGCATTGGAATGGGCTGCCCTGGGAGGTGGTTGGGTCACCATCTCTGGAAGTCTTCAAAACACATGTAGATGTGATACTTATGGACGTGGTTTAATAGTGGACTTGGCAGTGCTAGGTTTAAGGTTGGCCCAGATGATGTTAGAGGGCTTTTCCAACATAAGTGATTCTGTGATTCTAAGATTAACATTGCTGTTCTTTCAAGTAACGTTTGGGATTTTTAAAATTTTGCCATAGTATTGGCTTACTTGAGAGAGATGGAACATAGAGGTATGTTGGAATAAATGTGAAACACAAATTCCTGAGGGAATTTGTTTTAGTAAAATGCCGATGTTACATTACATACTACAGCCTTCAGAAAGGTGGTCCTGCCATGCCACCATATGCATTTGAAAATTCAAACGCAACTCAGTTAAAAACAAACAAACCCACCAAAACACATAGCCTTTTCCACTGCCAGCAGAAACTGTTTTTTTTACTGTTTTTTTTTCTTTTTTTTTTTCTTTTTTTTTCTTTTTTTTTTCTCCTATTGGGCCAAGGGGGAAAAGGGGGGAAGGGGGGGGAGGGGTAGAATGCACTGATAAACCCAGGTTGAGCAGCTGACCTGAATTTTGTATGTCAGAATAAACAGTCCTGTCACATTATAGCAATGCCTTCTCCTAATGTTTCAGTTAAAGAAAAACAATTGTGAAACTGTTAACTTCACCATCAGGGACATGTATCTATGCAGTGAAGTTAAGTTTAAAAAAATTGAATTTATAACACTATCTACTAGTTTCTGATTCTAAGCAAAAATGCTTTTTTTCTAAGCACCACCAACACCAAAATCAGCCTGGTACAGCTGCAGCTGGTTTTGAAGGGATTATATGCAATTCAAGCTAGAGTTCTTCCCTGCAATTATCTATTTTTTTATTTTTTTATTTTTAAGAAATCTAAGGTTAATGTTTTATTATTGTCCTATTAGATCTAATGTGTATGAACCTACATAAATGGAAAATGGCCCATTAAAGTGACATAAGTACATGGGAATTAAACAGAGCCATTCTATTTTACCTTTTGACCTTTCATAATTGGGAACACAAGTTGATTTAAAGCTTTGTGCTCCAAACACCAAACTTAAGTAGATAGCAGTCTTCCTTTATTCTTCCTTCCAGTATCTCCTTTTGTGCCTAGCTCTGCCTCTTGTCATAAATCTAGAATACAGGGTCTCTATGCAAATCCAACAATACATGCTTTTTGTTTCTCTTTTCTCATAAGCTATCTAAAAAAATCTTCAGGGTTCATTAGCTTAAAATGAAACAAGGCTTTTCAAGCACATCTTGACAAAGCATCATTTTAAAGCCAGTGAAAAAGTGGCAGGGCTTTCAAAAAGAGTTTGAATGTGGAGTAGTCATGCCAATATACACACTTGTGAGATATTAAGCTAAAGGTAATTGCATTTCAGGATGGAACTGCATAAACAACCAGATTTGGATTGAGTATCTTTCTAATTAAATTAGTTGGAAAACAAATGGAAACCCACAAATTGGAACTTGGTTTTTAAGACTTCAGGTGGTGCAAGTCAAGATAATGGAGTACACTTTTTATGTTAGGAATAATAAAAATGGTAATAGGGTGATAAAATGCAGGTTGTCTGGAAAGTATACGTAATAGAACAATAAAAATTGATGTGATTATATACTTTGGATGTATAAAGTCACATTTTAATGCCATCCATTAAAGAAGCATTAGATAATGGAGAACTTTAAAACTTGACTATATACCCCAAAGGTACAAAAATTCTGTTATTACAGGCATGTTAAAAAAGGCACTTATATACTTATTCAAATGTGTTAATAATACAGGCAAAGTGCATTTTACTCCTCAGTAACATTTGTGGTTAGCACCTGTACACAATCCATTTAATGTATTTATCATCAGAGATGATTTGTTGAATCATTATTGCCAAAATATGGAATACATATTGACAAGTTCAAGAGACAGAATCTTCTCCAAAGGTGCTATATCACATTAACATATATATATATACATATATATATATGTTAATATATATACATTATATTATATATATATTATATAATATATATATTAATTGTATATATTATGTTAATATATATACATATATTAACATATATGTATATGTTAATATGTATATGTATATATATTAACATATATATATGTGTGTGTTAATGTGATATATTTATCTTCCTTCCATTCACTTCAAGCACTCCTTTTTTATTCTTTCAGATACTTACTGCCGCAAATGTGTTACCTACTCAAATCTACTTTCTCATTTAAAAGAAATACTAGAATTTTGTAGGTTAATTCATGGAATAAAGCATTACAACTTTGGGTTTTCTCTCTTTTATTCTTAGCTCTTCCTTGGCCTACCAGTTTAATTTTCCAAATCTAATGTGTCAATTTTTTATTGGGGAAAAAAGAAGTTATGAAAAAAAAACAAAAAACAAACAAACAAACAAAAAAAACCTCTATGCCCTCTTATTCCTCTTATTCTCCTAAGGACTTGATCTCTACAACTTAATAACATCACTGACTGGACAGTCAATACAGCCAAAACAAGAAAGTTTTAACTGCTAAGGACAGAGCAAAGCTGACTAACTAGTTTTGCTAACAAAACCAACACAAGAGCTGTTCTCTTTTCACTAGTAGATCTCAAACTCCAATGATAATTTCATCTACAGAATAGACCTGACTATGCACTCACTTCCACTTGCCATACATGAATTATCACAGGCAGACAGTATGTTGTGTCTGTTGATGCACAAAAACAGGTTTCACTTTTGTTCTGGCAGCTGTAGTGCTGGTAAGGGCCATGTCACTGGATACCAATATGAGCAATGCCATTGGTCACAGCAGAAGCAAGAGAAGTCCACATTACCATCCTATTCGTCCCCACTGTCAAGCATGATAAACATGACAAAGTCAAAATGACACAAGTAAAACAATAAGCTGTCCATTTGACCAAAGAGATTTGAATATACTACAGGAAGAGAAACAGGAGGAAGGAAGGAAGGAAGGAAGGAAGGAAGGAAGGAAGGAAGGAAGGAAGGAAGGAAGGAAGGAAGGAAGGAAGGAAGGAAGGAAGGAAGGAAGGAAGGAAGGAAGGAAGGAAGGAAGGAAGGAAGGAAGGAAGGAAGGAAGGAAGGAAGGAAGGAAGGAAGGAAATGTAGGCATAGCTAGTATACATCTTAAGGACAGTCTCATGACCTCATCCTACCCTTCCTTTTACATAATTTAGTGAAATAGGTTGAGATACTGGAGCCATATGAATGGTTACATTACTAGTCACAAGCATTTTCAATGGATGAGGGTCCCAGACAGAATAGTTTTTTGAAATATAGTTGATTATCAGCACTGCAAAACACTCTAGCTTTAAAGCCTCTAGGAGCACTTACTTACTTGCTGTGTCTCATTTCTGACTCCTTCTGCAGAAGAATAAGCAATGCTAACAAAAACAGCTATTTCATGGGCAGAAATAATTACAAGAATAAAGATATCAGCACTTGATAATTCAATTAGGAGATTTGCTGCCTGCATTAAGAACTAAATTACATATAAGCAGGATCTGTAATATTTTGTGAGGCTGTTATTAGGGCTTTTCAGCCAACGGAAACAACTCTCTACAA